TTTTGAAATGCATTTTAGTTTTTTTTTGTTGGCGACTTGTACCGTATAGCTACCTAGGAAAATCAATGCGGTATAGTCAAGACATTAGGATAAGTGTGGACATTATCGATACTCGAATAAGTCGCATTTCATCGATTTCCTTTTAAGGATTATTATTCCAGATTAGTTCAACGACTTAATAGCAGTTAAATTGACATCATACTGTTATTATTATTTTTTACATGTAAAAATAGAATTCATTAAAATCCACGGGGAAATCACGAAAGCAATTCAGTTCTTAAGGGTAAACTCCGAATGCAGATCGTGACTATCCGGTGGCTGATGAATAATTCTCCCGACGTCGCGATCGCAGTGTTGACTCAGTGTTTTTTCTTTTTGCATTCGACCGCTTGTAAAAATCAATTTTATCGCCGTTCGTTGCTCAGTCAACCTTACTTTCGCTTTGAAGCTCCGCGTACATATTATTCTTCGGCTTTCGAATCTCAAGGTTCTCAAATATTTTTTTTATGTTTTTTTTTTTTTTTTTTTTTTNTTTTTTTTTTTTTTTTTTTTTTTTTTGTCAAAACGACGACGAATCAATGCACAGCGCGCGGTAGCGACGCATTAACAAAACAATTATTTTCATTGTGCGTCGGTGTACACGATTCATTCGCAGCTGTCCTGTGCACGGTGTCCTGTATCCGCGAGCTTTCTTCGTTACCGCAGCGAGTAATCGTCTTGTCAAGTGAATGACGCCGCCCGTCGACGCCCACGCGCACCGCCTTTACTTTTTCCCGCCCAACTGTATAACCGCAAATTTTTCACCGCGCCGCGCGAGAGAAATAGAGATATTACAACCGCAGTAGAAGAAAAAAACTGCCGATTAATAAACGTGAAATTTACATTTGAAATGAAAAAACGACGCGAGATTTCTTTTACCCCCTTTTTTTAATATTAAAAAACCCACAGCGTAGAACATTTTCGCGCTAACGTGCAGAGAGAGAGAGAGAGAGAGAGAGAGACGTTGAATCGACCGTAATCATGCTGAAAGCGCCGAAGCGAGAAAGCACCGCACTACCTAAAGCGTATTCATGTTATATTCGTTTAAATAAGCGTCCGTACACATAAAAGGAAAAGTTGTATAACGATGAGAGCTATCGGTCTATTGGCTATAATTTCAACGGCGGCAGCCGCAACCGCGTCGAGCAGCGCGCAGTAACGGCTGCAAGCTGCTTCAACAACCCTCGCTTTTCTCTCTCCTACTCCCTTTCTTTCGCGCGCGCCGCGGTATTCGTTCCTCGGCGAGCTTCTAGTGCACTCGAGGTCTAATAATACGTAGAAAGCTCGAGAGCTTCGACACGCATATACACGCACACATAATAGCGCAAAGAAAATTTCACCGATAAATTATATACGCTCGTTTATCGCGGTAAAGAGATAATTTGCAAGAAAATTTACAATTAACTGCAAATGAACAATCGGATACGTATGGCGTATGTAGAAAATAAATGAAGAAAAAAAGAGCGAGAGAGTAGAAGAGAGCGAGCAGCGGAGCATCGAACATGCAAAGTGTTGTGTTTGCTCATAGGTCGATCGCCGTCAAGGCCAAGTAATAAAGGCAAGAAAATACGCTACGTGAGTCGTCGCGCGCGAGTCAACCCCCGCGTGCGCGCGCGTGCCACAACCGATACACATTTTTTTACGTGGCATGCATATGTTTATCGTCACGATTTTTTTTTATATTTTTTACTATTATGTTCGTCGTAAGAGAGAAAAAAAAGATAAGAAAAAAGAGTATCGCGGCTGTTGCTGTTAAATCCAAGGTATAAAATCAATGACTCGTGGCGATACTCTCTTTTTTTTCTTTCTCTCTCTCTCTCTCTCTCAACTTATTTGTTTTTACTGGAATTTGGCGCGTGGATGCCCTGGAACATACACGTATATGTCTCTCTCGAAAGAGCCTTTTTTCATCAGTCCGCGGGCGTTTGAAATTAGACGCGAAATTTCTCGTTTTTTGGCCTCTCTCTGTGGTGTGCTGCTGCTGTTGCTGCAGCTGCTTCGACAGGCTTATATTTACTCAGTGACTCCCTAACGCTTCATATATGAAACTGAAAGCCCGTGCGGCAGCACAGAAGTGCACATACACACGGGCTCAAAAACACACACATACGCGCGGTCAAGTTTTTTCATTACATTTGTCTCCATTCGTGCGCACCATTCGTCATATATATAAGACACGTAATACGCGTGTCGCAGTCAGGTAGGAAAAAAGTAACTTTTTTTGCCCGTTGCACACACATACACATGCGCGTATATCTGCTTTTACACGATTTGCGTTTTCGATCGATGCGTTCTCCAACCAACTTTCGTTATTATGACCTACAAAAACGATACGCCATATGTACCCAGCTATCGCTCACTCGACTATACTATACGCGAGGCTCGAAATTGAATTTATTCGATGGAGGATTTAATTGTTCGCCCAAATGCATACAGTTTTGTAACGACGACAAAAAAAAAAAAGAAGAAATTGTCTCGAAATCCAATTATATTATAGTGTTCAAGCTCTCTCCCAAGCCCTTTATAATGCGGCGCGCAGGGAGAGAGAAGATAAAAATTTCACAATAATATGCACGGACGGAGTGAATTAAGGTCGGTCGCGCGCGAGAAAGGTATACGCAGTGTGACTCGTGCTTTTTTTTTCTTTTAAAAATTTTTTAGAAAAATTGTTCCAGCTCCGATGGCATACCGTGCGCGCGCGCGCACACACACAGGCCGCGCGCGACTTTGTGAAGCTGCGACTCGGTGGCAGTTTCGAGAGGATGAAATTTGATTGCTTAATTCCTCGAGAGGATAATATTTCTATTTATATACGTCGCCTTTGATGCGCAGTATGGTATATAAATGTCTTTCTCGGCCGCATCCTGACGTTAGATAGCTCGGAGCTATTTTAGCGTTCGTCAGCGAGTTGTATATATATAATAAATCGAATTACGCCTCGTAGTCTTGTTTTTTTCTTTATCATTCGACAGTGAGCGCATAAATATAAAAACATATCCAATTACCGGGTAGACAATGCAGCCGACACATATCGAGATGATGATAAATAATCATACATATCATAATAAAAAAGACACACGAGAGCGAATAATTATATCATCAAAGGGTATAATAAAATCAATTTGCAATTTTCTTTGACGGAGTATAGCACGTATACGCAGCTGCAGCAGCCTAGATATACATGCCATTTGTTAAACCTTTTAAAATGCATGATGTGAACGAGACCAAGACGTGATAGGGAGGATCTTTCGTTTTCTCACGCCTTTCGCGCGAGTATATATAACACATGTATAGCAGCGCCAAAGGACTGACGGAGTTACGTGTATATTTTTCCGGCTGCTGCGTGCGTGGAATTTTCAGCGATACAGAGACTCGACGAAAGTCATTTTTATCGAATGCAAAGGCAAACTTTTTTTTTTTAAATAAATTTAATGCGTTGTATGCGTGCCTACTTCGAGCAAGGGGGTGATGATTACAGGACGCGAGAGTAACGAGAAAATGGATATATATAACGTAAGGGATAAAGATAAATCGAGTGGTTGTACGATATAGCGTGTGCTTGACTCCTGCGTGCGAAGCTCTTAAGACTTGCCGCACTCGCGGGGGAAAGAAAAAGCTCTTAAGGAGCTCTCAGCGCGCGGGCTGGAGGGCTCGGCTCGGCGCGCAGACAATGAGGGGGAAAATGATCCGACACTTTGGCAAATGATACGGCGCGCGAACGAACGAACGGGTCTGGCTTCGACATGAATAGAAACGAGCTTTCCTCGTTGAGTCGAATAAGATAAACTGACTGTGGTGGAGTAGCGGGACGTCTCAAGGATGGTGTTTTTGTTCGTCGTAAGAATCGTTGAGAAATTTACAGAAAAGTTCTACAACGATATCTGGGTGTATGATGACCTAATGATCGATAAATAACTGTATGAAATGTTTTAAAATATGTGACTACTGATTGTGGCGATTTTTCTGTTAAAATTATGTTTAAAATATTAAGCGCATTGTAAATGACATAAAAATTCCTATTTGACTGTTTCAAGTATTTTAATACGCTACTATCACTTGAAGTCTCCGCCGCTAGATGGCGAGTATCTTTTTCTTTATAATCTGCAAGTGACAAAGTCAAAATAATTGTATAAGTCAAAGCACAATTTTAATATAATTTTCATGTTTTCTATTCCCCATCGTCTTTAATAACTTTGTTAAAAAGAATTCATCATATATTAAAAAATTATAATTTAGACAACGTTTCGTTACCACTTGGCAACCTTTTCAAGTCGTAAAAATACAAAGACAATTATAAAAAGTTGTGAGGACGTATGTTTATTATTTAAAAAAAATAAAAAAATTTTTTTAAGTAACTATTTTGATGTAAAAATTTTCCCGCTCTTTTGTTGAACGAATTTTTTCTACGCCTTTTACGAGGTTTAAAACAACCGTATACAACTATCAAATTTTAAAAATCACGATCTTTGAAGGTCCGCTGAGAGCGATATGTGGACTCTTGAGGGCTGAAAATTGGTGAATCATCTTTTTGTACTACTACTTTATGTAATTAAAATTAGGGAAAGATCCAAGAGGGTTGGACCGATAAGTGGCCCCAGAAACCATGAAATGCCCCATATTTATGTGTATAGAACCGATTATTTAGAGTAATGTGAATAAAGAAGACAACATCCAAGTGTTAATCCTGACGAGACTTCGTACCAGGCAATGAAACGTCGACGTATATTTTCATTTTAATTTTATTTTTTATTTCAAAAAACGTAACTTCTTCGACGATCCGGTCAGAGGGATTGGGTGAATTTTTTATTTGTTGACGCGTCATGATAGAAGTAGATCCAAACTTATATTGCCTCAAAATTTTTCATTAATTATATAACTAAAGGCCCCAAAAAAAATTATACATGTAACAGCTGTTTTCAAAATTATGAGATTGCGATGCATTTATTGAACGTCTACGTATACTATTCACTATGTACATTATGATGCATATTATTATTAATATCTCCATCGTTCATATCGTGATGGTAGGGCCGCTGCCTGCGCGCGTCCTCCGTCCAATCGGCCTTGATCAGATCGCTGGCCTTCTCGGCGATCATCACCGTGGCGGCGAGGGTGCTGCCGCTGACCCCGGCCGGCATCACCGAGGCGTCGACGACTCGCAGCCCCCGCACGCCGTGGACCCGCAGCCGCTCGTCCACCACCGACGTGCCGTCCGCCCAGGGCCCCATTCGACACGTACCCGCGTAATGGAAGCCCGGCAGAGAGTAGCGACGCAGCAGACACTCGTAGTAGGCCTCGGACTCGGCCGAGGCATCCAGGTCCTTGCAGCCCGAGACCGGATTCTCCTTGAAGCCCCTCGCGACGAAGGTCGGCGCGTCGAAGATCTTCTTGGCGCGACGTATGGCCTCGACGACGAGCCGCTGATCCTGCGGATCGCTCAGGTAATTGCCGCTGATCGACGGGTCGCCCCAGACGGGATCGGTGCGGTTGAGCCGCACCTCGCCCCGGCTACGTTGGCGCAGCAGCACCACGATGAGCTGGACCTTGTTGTAGTAGGCGCGCGGCACGAAGGTCATCATCTCGACGCGGCCGCTGCTACGATACATCTTGCCGATGAAGTCGATCCTCACGTCCGGCACGTCTCGTCGTCTCGTCTCATTGGACACGCTGTAGTGATTGACGGTATCGAGGCTGCCGAGGGCTGCCAAAGGTCCCTCGTGCGTCCTCAGCCACTGATTGACGTCGCGCCTTATCTCCTCGACCTCCATGGTCATCCAGCGATCTTCCACGTCGAACGTCAGCGCCTCGACCTTCACGCTGTCCAGCAGATTGCGCCCGACCGGCAGCTCCTGCAGCACCGGAATTCCGTGAGCGGTCAATTCCGTGGCGGGGCCCACACCCGACAGCATGAGCAGCTTCGGCGACTCGATCGCGCCTGCCGACACGATCACCTCCTTCCTCGCCCAGGCCTTTTTCACAACTTTCTTATCATCCTCTAGCTGTACGTACTCGACACCTCGGGCGCGTTTGGTCTTCGGGTCGATCAGGATGCGCACGACTCGCGACCTCGTGCGTACCGCGAGATTCGCCCGGGTGGCGCGCACCGGTCGCAGATAGGCGGCGTTGCTGCCGTCGCGGGTGCCGTCGCGCGTCAAGTGCTGCATCCTCGAGACGCCGCTGACGTTGTAGCCGCGATTGTAGTCGATCTCCGGATAGCCGAGCTCGCGCCAAGCGTCGTGAATGGCCAGCGAGACGTTGTCGCGATGTGCGAAGTAGTCGACGGCGAGATTGCCGCCGACCCCGTGCACGCCTGGACTCTGCTTCAGTATCTGCAACAGGACTTGGATTCACTGATTCTGAGCACAAATTTTTTTATACAATTTATTCATTTACACTGGGAGCCCTCATGTCCTCGGACTTGAGAAAGTACGGCAGCACGGCCTCGTAGCTCCAGGCCTTGTTGCCGAGCTCGGCCCACTCGTCGTAGTTGGCCCGGGTGCCGCGCGTGTACAGCATGCCGTACATGCTGGTGGTGCCCCCTACGCCCTTTCCGCAGGGCAACAGGCAGGCCTTGTTGGGATTGCCGGCGCAGGCGAACGGCTCGGGCTCGCTGCTGAACGTGTGGGTGCTCTCGCTCGTCGGATTGGTGATGAGCATCGCCGGGATCTCGTTGAAGTACGGCTGCTCGCTGCCCTCCTCCAGCACGAGGATCTGTGCGATGATGAAGTGTCGATGCGTGAGCTTGCGTGATAATTGTTAATTTTTTTTTACGTAGGTAGTACCTTCCAATGGGGGATCTCGCTAAGTCTGTTGGCGAGGACGAGGCCAGCGCCGCCCGCTCCAACCACTATGAAATCGTAGTGGTCGTTCATGTTGTTGTGGTTGTCCCGATTTTTCGGACTCCTTCTGGACGACTGGCGTTTATTCGGTACATCGCGCGACGAGCTCAAGAAGCCGATCAAAAACGTCATGAAGGCCAGAATGTCGGGTCGACACGCGGCCTGCTGAGAGTTCTCCAGGCAGGACGACAACGTCTGGTTTACATTTTGCGCGGCGGCGATGCTGCTCAAATTCGTCAACGGTGGTAACAACATCGTGTAACACTTTCACAGTTCAGACCGCTTTGCATTGAAAAATCGACTGAACGAGCATATCGGAACATCGAATGAAAAACAAAAAGTAAATAAATAAATGAAAGAAAAAAAAATGATCGATTCGACCGCAGCACGAATTTTGCAATGCAATCTGTACAAATATCGCGATATGAATTTTTGTCGATAATGCGCTTGATCGATCGGTTGATTGATTTGACACAATGAAATTTCGCATTAAAATTTTCCCCGATTCTCGAGAGCTGCTGAATTAGCATATATTATATACGTATTTTAGACGTATGTACGAGAACTCGCGCGTTACGTCTAACCCACGCGCACACATGCCAAAACTTGTCGATGAAGTTTAACGCGAGCAGTAAGTTGACAGGAGTTAACGTCACAACGAGCTTGTATAATTGATTTTGGAGAAAGGGAAGCTACTGCCGCTGATGCTTCTCTCCAATTCAAATTAGACCTTCGGTGAATATAGAGGTCCAACTTGGCGTTATATGCGCAGTGCGTTTCTTCGGGAGGAAGGATATATAGAAAAACATATAGATATAACTTCTGCGCAAAGATATGTACACGGTTGTGTGTACCGATTGATCTTGTGTATGGGAAGCTGCTGCTGCTGCTGCTGTCTTTGAAGCGCGTCAAACGCTAACTGTAACGAAACTTAGCGTCGTCGTCATCAGCGTGTTGCGGCTACCAAACAAGATTCATCTGTGTAGTTTCTGACACAGATGAAAGCTTCCTTATATATAGCAGTTGAATTTAACTGCGGAAGGACGTCTGACATCTTTGAAGCTTGTTAGAGCTCCGACTACTGCTGCTGCTGCTACTACAGTGACTCTTAATTAATACCCCGTGTGCGGCATGCCCATCGAGGCGAAATTGCGGCGCGTTGATGGTTTGTAAAATTAAAACAATGGAAATATTTCTCATTGAAAAATTGCGCGGCGCTCGTATAAGAGGTTGTTCGCAAATGGCCCTCTCTCTCTCTCTCTCTGGCACCGACGTGAAATGAATAATTTCTCTCTCTCTCTTTCTCTCACATTTCCTCCCTTTTGTAGTCTCTTTTGTCTTCATCATTTTACGCGCGTGAAACAAATGGCAGTACTTTGTATTAATCAGTCGAAAGTGCGATTCGATGATGTTTGCACTTGCAGTCAGACACATAGAGTAAATTAAGCGAGCATATATGTAATATCGCGGGTCGATGGAGGAAAATAACAATAATGGAGGAAAAAAAGAGAACTGGAGTATTTGCAGATAAATTCTACGGACGTGGTTCCGAGAAAAAATAACAATAAAAAGAACACGTGAGCAGCCAACTCTGTATATATTATGGCGTAGTGCAGCTCGTAGTCAAATAAACTCGGGTCAGGTGTAAACTCAAATTAGGCCGGCATTTACCTCACACGATACCTAATACACACATTTTTTTATGATGTATCGAGTACAATAAATACAGGAAAAAAAGTTCACAACTATCGTTTCTCGCCGATGCTCTTTTATAATTCGTTATACATTTTGGGACGCGCGAATGTTAATTCATTTCTATATAAATGGGGAAAGCAGCAAAATATAAGTGCAGCAAAGTTATCTCCAAGAACACTTGCGAATATTTACAATACGTCTGCGGTGTGCAGCGCGCAGTTTATAGTTGGAAAAATAAACGCAGCTGCTGAGTGTACACGACACAACCGATGCACACACCGTGAAAGTAAATAAATAAATAAAATGAGGTGGCATGGAAACGTGAAAAAAATTAAAATCTAAGCAAATTAATGAATTACAAGTTTTTTGTATTAATTTCAATTTCAACACTCGTTGTTTAACAAAGAGTCATCGAAGAACTGCCTATTTTTTATTTTCGCACAAACACATGTATCGAAGTTTAATGTTTACAAAAATCTTCAATATTTAGCCGACAAGCAAATACGCCCTAAGTCGTCATTCTTCAAATTCTCGACGATCATCTCGCAGCAGAGAATCGGCAGCCTGTATACCCTCAACTCCCAGAAAGGTTCCAGCGCCCAACGCCGCGAAAATCCCCTCGTCATTATCTCGTACAGATGATCGACGGCCATTGCAATCGTAGTATTGCATGCAGGTGACCAGCTTTTACGCCTGTCTGGGTCGCAGCAAGCACACCAGCTCGCTGAGCAGGGTAGGTCCCGGACCGATGCCGTGCTCGTTCGCGTCCGCCGCGAAGGCGCCGCCGTCGTTGCGCCACCACTCGTTGACCAGGCGTCGTCGGAGGTCAGCTTGTATTCCATTTTCTTTTCGAGACACTCGACGATGGCCAGTGCTCTGGACGCCAGCCCGAATTCGAATTGAAACTCGCCGACTCTGCTCTTGCCGAAGTAACTCGAGTCGAGGAAAACGAAACTCGACAGATCGGAGCCGTGATCCAAGAGTAGCTCGACCACGCGAGGGAAAAAATTCGACTACTTACAATGCGTATGTCGTTTGACGGTTTGCGTTTGATAGCGGCAACTCGTGCACGAACACGCAGCAGCAGCGCGAGGGAAACAAAGACACTCGATGCCTCGAATTTCGCTTCGAGCCGCTTCTACTGTATAGTAAGGCGACCGCCGCGGCAAATTTTATTCTTGAAACGAGCATAGTAATCGCGCGGGTTTTGGTAAACTCGCCTCCAACAGTCTGCCTGAAATGTCAGCGAACAATTTCGTGGGCATAATACGAGCTACGATCATAAAAAAACACGATGATAAATAAATTTCGCTTAAAAATTCTTTCAATTGAGCTCAACACGTTGAGTGATTACATAAAAATAGTTATAGTGATTTAAACACAAAAAATTAATACAAATAATAGTAATAATAAGTCATCGATTGATAGGTCAATTATATACTTATGCACGACAAATTCATCTGCGTTTAAAAAAGATCACTTCATAGTCAGATTCGGTGAACGTATAATAAAATCAAAAACCAAGCTAATTAATCAATTCAATTTTGTTTTATTTGTTTCATACATAAAATTATAGAGGATCGATATGATAATATGAAAAATTAACGAGATATCAAGAACTTTGGTCAGCGGCCGTCAAACAAATACGCCACAAATCTTCGTTTGTTAGCTTCTTCATGATTATTTCACAGCAGAGAATTGGCAGCTGGTGGTCCGTCAGCTCCATAAAAGGATGTAGTGCCCATCGCCGGAAAAATCCTTTCGACATTATCTCGCACAGATGTACAGCATAAGCTTCACTTGCCTCTTTGGGGAGAATCCGCCAAATACTCGAGCTCGTGAACTGGAAGTAGTCTGAGTATGCGCATATTTTTGCAGCCTCTTCGGGTCCTAATTGGATAAAGTCGTGAAGTGATAAATTGCTCGATGTTATCTTATGTCGTTTTGCTACTGTCGAGACATCTTCGTTGTCATACAAAAAATTGTTAGGATCGCTCGATTTCTTAAATAATCCGTACTTGGCGAATATTTTCATGATCGAAAGCGCACCCTCTTCGTCCAGCTCGTATCCACTTTTCTCAAGACGTTCGACGATGATCAGACTGCCAGCCGCTATCGTCAATTGAAAATTCAACGACATATCATTGCGCAAATCACATCTCTTGAAGTCCTTGGCGAGGTAATCCTCGGTGGGGAAAACGAAGTTGGTAAGATCAGCGCCATTAGCCAAGAGTACTTTTACAGTATGCAGAGAGAGATTCGCCACGGCCCATTGCAACGGTGTCCGACCCAATTTGTCCTTCGCGTCAACCTGCACCAGCTGATTGACTTCTTTGTTGATCTTGAAAAAAAACTCTGTTAAGCCATCATCAAAATGTTTTTCTCTCTTGCAAATGATGTGGAGCGGGGTCGATCCGTCCTCATTGGCCAGATTCGGATCCCCACCATTTTTTAGCAGCAATTCGATCGTCTCCTTTACCCTCGCGTTGCTGCCCAAGGCCAAGTGTAACGGAGAGTCGCCCGTTTCTTGCACGATGCAATTGGGATCTTGCCCAAGCTCGAGGAATTTCTCGACCATGTAGTTTACGCCAGACATGCAGGCCACATGGAAATGAGTAAGGCCGGATTCGTCTCAGCCCGATGATTACATCGCTGCAGACGATCGGCTGTCGGTACCGCATCAGCGCCAAAAAAAGTCCATCGCCCATCGACGGGCAGCAATTTCAATGCCAAGTGCAATGGCGTATTACCCAACTTGTCCCGGGCATCGAATTTCATTAGCTTAAGGTTTTCATTACTTATTTTGAATAACACCTCCGCATGTCGTACTCGTGATTGCTCTGTGGCTTCGTAACGTGTACTGTGAATCGACTACTGAATTATACGATGTCGTATGACTGTTTGACCGCGGCAACTCGTGCTAACGAACACGCAGCAGCGGCGTGAGAGAGACAAAGACACTCGACCGGCTGAGTTCGCCTCGTGCCGCTAATGTAGCGATTACTGCAGCAATTTTTAGCATAGCAGCGATTGTCGCTTCCTAAATTCGCCACATAAAAAATGTAATTTTCTACCAATACCCAACGCTGCTTTATTTTTTGCGATCAAACTTTTAACAGGCTGAGAGCGACTTCGCGAGGAAAAAATAATAAAGTCTATACAAAAAATAAACCTCGAAGAACATTTTTTTCTGTACAAATAGTCGACCGATCGATATGAAATTTTTTTTTTGACTCCCCCAAGAATTTTTCTTCTTAAAATATAAGAAATTCTTCGGATGCGGTGCGTGGTGCAGCTCTATGCGGAGAATGGAAAGTTCACTATCGAGTTTTTTTTTGCTCCTTCTGCTCTCCTTTTACCAACGTATATGCTCGCACACGTAGTCCGCCTTTTCGGTGGTATAAACGCGAGCTTGAAAAGTTTCTGCCTCTCTCTCTCTCGAATGTAAACTCGTTTTCTTTCTCTCTCCCGCGCGTTCGATGCGGTTATATTCCGAGTGCAACAGTGAGTTTTTTTTTTGGGCTTTTCGTCGAGAGGCGAGGATTGTTCGACAAACCGTTAGTTGGCCACAATGTTGAAGTTGTGATTTGGCAAGATTGAGTGGAGGAGGGGACGCCTACATCAATCGAGTCGTGCGCTCGTATGCCGAACGACAAGCTGGAAAAACACATATTCCTGCGCCAGCGCGTATATATAGAAGCGAATGTACGCTATAAATTACATTGCTCGGCCGCCGTGTGCGCTTCAACTTATTAAACTTTTAATGGGAAGCAATTCACCGCGCTTCGCTCGAGGAAAATGAAAAGGCTTTTAAAAAATAAAAACTTGGCCTGTACGCGCGAGCACATCGTAGCTTTGAGACTCCCGGCTCTCTTCGACACTGCATACATACTGAAACGCATACGGGGTGCGGCACACATATAAAATACTGTGTACTCCGAACGATACAATGAATAAGTTTGCGTGCGCCACCATTACGGATTATATAGATTCTATTACGGCCCCATATGCAGGAGCTGCAGAGTGTGTAAAAATGTTATCTCTCGTGAATGGTATAGCCCGAGTCTAAATAATAATGTCTCGACGACTTCTGTATACACCTGAGAGCTTACAAAAAAAAAAAAAAACAAGCACACAGTGTCGGATTAGAAAAAGTGCCGTCCCCTCACAAACTTTCATTTGTCGTTCACGCAATTTGAAAACAATTATGAGAAATTTTGCTAATTTTTAAAACTAACATCCACACTAGTTTTTTCAAATAGAACATTTTGTTATTACCGATCACGTCTCTTGTTTAAAAAAAATCCGTCTGTGAAAAAATTTATGAAAATATTTCACTTGCTCGTGTTTGATTAATTCAATTAGTTTGTAAGATTTATTAAAAATCCAGTAGCCAACTAAATGGTTGCTCCCATTCACAGTTCCAAACGATAAATGAAAAAAATTTTGGGCAGATACTTGCATGATTGAATGCCAGAAGTAAGTAGCTGAAAAATGGATAGAGAATAGTAATAAGTAGTACGCGATATCGGAAAACATTACAACATCAGTGTACAAAGGTGTAATAAAATAGTTAAACGTCCGAAGTTCAGGTAATGCACAATCATTTCGGAAAAGTTTTTATTGAAATTTTACAAAAACATATGTATACGAGTATCAATACATATTATACTAGTGGCAACCACAGTTGCAAAATGCTGAACGACTGAATGGTAAATAACGAAATAGCATACGACATCATGATAATAGTTGTTTCAGCCGTATGAAATTAATAATAGTAGCTTCAATGAGTATCATAATAAATCAATGTTACAATGAGTTTTTCTGTCAGCTAATTTGGTAAAGCGGTTAAAATTATTATTGGTATAATTGGAAGTAGAACACAAAAATAGGGCGTATTTTTTAGTTTGATGTTCCCTACATGTACATTAGTATAGGTATATATGAATACAGGTTTTCGTAATTCGCACGTACGAAATAGATTTCACTTATCGATGTTTTGTGCTCAGCGTGTATTGACAACGTTGCGACCAAAGGAATTTGCACATGGCATGCCAACACATATACAGCTGTATGTACGCGTTAAGCTGGCTCGGTGTGCCCACGTGACAATATACATAGATATATATTTGACTACATGACTAACCATGCATATTTATCACACATAGATTACATAGATGTACGATATTCGCTCGTTGTGTAAAAATGGTAAATGATATAGATGCGACTGTAGTCACGCATTTGGCGTTAGTGTAATATAAAAATGTATATAAACCCTTCCTTCGCTCACGTTAACTTTGTTTCATATTTTGCGATTCATGAAGTGTTCAATACTTTATAATTTCTTTGTAATAAGATACAATTCAAATAAAATGGCTAATTGTTTATTACGAGATCAATAGTATAATTTCTCCAATAATAAATGATAAGTTTAGAGTATCTCTGTTGACATAAATTTTCTCAAACTTTCATTTCACGATTTGTAAATATTATTACACTTATGTTACCTAGCTCGATGTGTAACATCATTACAAAACAATTAGTCGTTGACCAAGTTCCGAGTGATAAACATGGACTTCAGTGATGTATATAACTCTGTTGTCAGGTAATTTTTGTTTCGTGAGAATGAAATTTAAAAAAAATGACATAATACTTTATATTATTGGGAATATTGCAGAGTGAAGAAGGAACCAGAAGATGTTTCCCCAATTAAAAATGAAGATTATAAAATAATTGACAATGCTTGCGATGCTAAAAACGACGAATTCTCGAGTTTTTGTCGAGAAAATTTAGTAAGTGTTGATGTGGGACTGTTTAGTCAATATTTTGATCAAATATTTTTACTAATCTCATTTCCAGATTTATGGGCTTCGTGAAAATGATGAAAATTCTGGACCTAATAACGATTTGGAAATAGAATTCGAATGTAAGGACGAGAAGCTCGACATTAACTTATTAGTAGTCAAGAAAATCGAGGACGATTATCCAGATCAATGGCAGCATATGAAAAATGGTTGCGATTATCAGACTCAAAAGAAAATTAAAGAAGAAATTGTCGACAAAGTAAAAGAGGAATTGAATTTGGATGGGGTACTCAGTGATGCATTTGATGCAAATGAAAAAACATTTGCTCAAAATAGTCGACGCAAAACCCAAACTGATAAGGCACGCAATCGTACCAAATATCCATGTAATATATGCGGTAAAAAATTTTCACGAAAAGGTTATCTCAAGGTCCACATCGATTCAGTACATAATGGTGTTAAACATGAGTGTGGTATATGTGGAAAGACATTCACACAAAAAGGAAAGCTCAAAATTCACACCTATGTAATGCATAAAGGTATGGCACCTACTTGCGAAGTATGCGGGAAGAAATTCTTAACTGAAGCTGCACTCAAGATTCACATCGATGCACACAATGGTGTTAAACATCCATGTAATATATACGGTCAAAAATTTTTACGAAAAGGTTATCTCAAGGTCCACATCGATGGAGTTCATAATGGTATTAAACATGAGTGTAGTATATGTGGAAAGACATACGCACAAAAAGGTCATCTCAAAATTCACATCGATGCGATGCATAAAGGTATGGCACGTACTTGCGAAATATGCGGAAAGAAATTCTCAATCAAGGCTAATCTCAAGATCCACACCGATGGAGTACATAATGGTGTTAAACATGCGTGTGGTATATGTGAAAAGACATTCACACAAAAAGGAGATCTCAAGAGGCATATCGAGGGACATAATGGTGTTAAACATGCGTGTAGTATATGTGGAAAGACATTCACACGAAAGGGTAGTCTTAAAAAACACATGAATTTGATGCATAATAAGACCTGCACTTATTGTAATAAGTGCGGCAAGACATTTTCTCAAAAGGATCGTCTTATAACTCACATTAAAACGCAGCACGAAGACATTGATCACGCTTGTGTTTTATGCGGAAAAAAATTTAAACATAGAAAATATTTATGCAGACACGTCAAAAGTATGCATGAAGGCAATACCCAAGCACGAGAACAATACAAAAGATCTTAAAACGTACCTATCAATACCGCGCAAAATGATGAAACATCGAGACAAATAAATAAATTAACATATCATAAATTAACATATATTTATTTAATATTAGCATATAATAAATAAACGTATCATAAATTTTTGCTCAGTAGTGATACACAAAACACGACATAATTATACTATATCACAATCATGTTACGCTCAGTATAGTGGTACTTAAAACACGACATATAATATACTTGTCATAAGTACAATGTTAAATACCGATACACAAGTAAGATCGATTGCAAACAAAAATTACGTTTTTTCGAAGTGGAGATATCGCGAGGTGCAAAACTTAAAATTGCATAAAAAGGCATTTTTTGTATTGTAGGATATACGGATGTCGCTAAAAAAGTATACAGCACTTCATCAGCACCGAAACAATGCTATGTAAAATTTTCAGGTCGATTGGTTTATCCCTGCATGAGTTATCGCAATTAGAATAAAACATCAAACATAAGCAATATCGAATGTATACAAAAAAAAAATTACCCATAAATAACCCACAAAATATATATTAGAAAATTTACACACGAATATTGATGCAAAACTCAAAATTGCATAAAAATGCATTTTTTGCATATCAGGATACACTGATGTTGCTCAAAAAGTATACAGCACTCCGTCAACACAGAGTAAAACATTGAAAATTAGCAATATCGAATGTGTACGACTTTGCTGCGCTCAGCATCAACTATTGTTGTCGCATACCTGCCGCCCTGTCGTGACCTCCATGGGCTGTCACTTAACTTCACGACATCCTGTCGTGACCTTCATGGGTTGTCACTTGGTGTCTGATCAAATTATATTTTTTTCCAAATTTCTTTCCGCACTTGTTGCATGTGAAATTTTTACAATCATCGTGTACAATTTTTTGATGGACGAACAAATTTCCTTTTCGTCCGAATTTTTTTTCGCACTGATTGCATGCATAATCCTTGCGGCCATCGTGCATCATCTTTTGGTGGGCAACCAAATTACTTTTTTTACCGAATTTTTTCTCGCACTTGTCGCATGCGTAATCCTTGCGAGCTTCGTGTACTGTTTTTTCATGTTCGATCAAATGGCTTTGATGCCCAAATTTCTTTTCACATTTACGACATGAATAATCTTTCCGACCTTCATGTACTGTCTTTTGGTGGTAGAGCAAACTCGATTTGAGCCCAAATTTCTGTTCACACTTGTTACATGAATATTCTTTTCGACCTTCATGTGCTGTCTTTTGGTGGTAGAGCAAACTCGGTTTGTGCCTAAATTTCTGTTTGCACTTGTCACATGCGAAATCCTTAAGACCTTCATGGACTGTTCTTGTGTGTAAGAGCAAACCACTTTTATGTCCGAATTTCTTCTTACATTTGTCGCATGCATAATCTTTGCGACCCTCGTGGACTGTTGTTTTATGTCTAATCATTTTCGATTTTTCTCCAAATTTCTTCTCGCATTTGTCACATGCAAAATCTTTGCGACCTTCGTGGAATGTCTTTTGGTGCAAAAGCAAATGCGATCTTTGTCCGAATTTTTTCTCGCACTTGTCGCATGTGTAATCTTTACGACTTTCGTGTACTGTCCTTTGGTGGATGAGCATATTCGATTTTTGTGTAAATTTCTGTTCACACTTGTCGCACGCGTGATCTTTCTGACGTTCGTGGACTATCTTTTGATGTAAGAACAAATGCAGTTCTCGTCCAAATTTTTTCTCGCAATTGTCGCACGCGTAATCTCTTCGACCTTCGTGTATTATCATCTGGTGTCTAATCAATGTGCATTTTCGTCCGAATTTTTTCCCGCATTTGTCACAAGCGTAATCTTTCTGACCTTCGTGAACTATTTTTTGGTGCTCCAACAAATTTAATTTACTTTCAAATTTCTTCTCGCATTTATCGCATGCAAAATCTTTGCGACCTTCGTGGATAGTTTTTTGATGTCTGAGCAATTGATGTTTTAGTCGAAATTTCTTATCGCACCTGTCGCATGCAAAATCTTTGAGACCTTTGTGGACAGTTTTTTGATGTCTGAGCAATTGATGTTTTAGTCCAAATTTCTCCCCGCATTTGTCGCAAGCGAAATCTTTAGGACCCTCGTGGACTGCTTTTATGTGTAAGATCAAAGTCCGTCTATTTCCGAATCTTTTGGCGCACTTTTCACATAAATAATCTTTGACAACTTCATGGAATATTTTATTGTGATTTACAAAATTTGATTTATTTTCAAATTTCCTCTCGCACTTGTTGCATGTAAAATCTTTCCGATCTTTGTGTACCAATTTTTGGTGCGTGAATAAACTAGATTTTTTCACGAATTTTTTCTCGCACTGGTCGCATCCAAAATCTTTGTGGGCTTTGCGCATCGATATTTGATGTCTACTCAAATGACTTCGGAACTCAAATTTCATTTCACACTTGTCACATGAGTAATCTTTTTGTTGATTGTGAATTGTGTTACGATGTGTTAACAAGCTTGATTCTAGTTTAAATACCTCATGACAAATATCACAAACGTAGTCTGAAACTTGACGTTCACTTGAATTATCTTGAGAAACAACTTCCTCGGATTCCTCCTCACTTTTATCCATTTTGTTGTTTAAAATAAACGATGGATTCTATTTAGTGACACGGAAATGGAATACGTCAAACTTATCTTGAGGTATTATGTCTTGAAAGATAACATTCAAATTAATTTGTTTTCACTATAAACATGATAAGTGTGTCGAAGGACGATGCTAAAATCGTTTATGAAATATGTTTACAATTAAGTTATCGATTTATCTGTTTATACATTATCTTTACAATATTTGAAACAGTGTAAATTCAGTACTTCTAAACAAACTCTCGACAAACAACATCAAGTAAAACGATCCTTATACACATAAATAATGAAAAATTTTGATATTCGCTGTGCATGTCTCTGCGAAATTTCAAGTTGCACGAGCCGATCGAGTAAACTATAATGTACCCACCCGCTACTTTCGAGCGATATATAAGCCTTTTCTCGAGAGCGATCGTGTGTACGAGCTCGCATAATACAAACTGGCTAAATCCCAGAATTGCCATGAGCTCGTTGACCTTTAACCGATTGATGCCTGGCATCGATTGCACTGGCCCGGAGATAATACCAGATAGCGCCTGCGATTCATTGTTGCGAATAATAATATACAACGTTCTTCGTCGTTCGCCGAAGAGCAGTAACAGCGCAGTAGTAGCGGCAGCAGATGCCATGAGGAAAATAGCAATTTTATCTAAAAATGTAACGGCTGCTGCTCGTCGTGCATCTCTCGCGAGCTTATGTGCGGAATACTTTTATTATATCGTTGACGTAATATAAGCAAGCAACGAGAGAGATGCCTCTCAGCAGTACATTGTGTGGCACAAAAAAATGTAAAAGAAGAAAGTTGACTTCGAAGATGGTGGCAATGAATTATATCGCTAAAGTGCAAAACGCAATACCGCAAAATTGGATAATACATTAAAGCGAAGGGTAGAGAGAGGCAGAGCATCTCAACGCGAAAGTATATATTTACAATAGGAAAGACGAGAGACGAGGAAAGATTTTCGTCCTCTCGCACGAGCATTTTTTATATATATATACGATAAAGGGTCTATCGATCAGCTGTCACTCTCTTTCTCTCTGTGTGTGCTCGCACCTCGCTCACTCGACGACTGAGTAAATTGCGATATATATGACGCGCATGAATAAAGATCTCTATCGATCAAAGCTGTCTTTGCCGAGGCTTGTAATTTCGCATTTTAGAAAGGACGGATTAACTATATATATACTCGCGCGACAAATTCACACAGGAGCTGTAGGACGCGTGCTTCTCTTCTATACCACAAGTTTTTATCTATATATCATACCGCTAGTAGAAGAGCAATATAAACTAGCTTTAATATCGTGTAATTAACGAGAGTTTCGTAAGCGAGATTAACTTAAACTCAAATCCTGTGTGGATTTCATTAATTTATTTTTTTTTTAAACCCTCTATAACTTCGCGGGAAATGCGTATAATCCTTACATATACCGTATAATTCGTCCTGTTTCTACCCCTCTTGCAGAGAAAGAGAGAACCGCGCGTGCTTCATTTACATTTGGAATCGTCGAAAATTGTTATTCTCAACAAGTGTAACAATTACGCCTCCGCTCTCCCTGCGTATTATAAGCTCGATCGTGCAACTCTGCGTACACACAGTTTCTCTGTGGCAATTGTCTGTGTATGTGTGTATGTGTGTATGTAATATTATAGAGCACAAAGTAATTTCTCGCTCGAGCTTCGAGCGTATATACCCACAGTCGAGTGTGTACATTATACGTGTGTTTGTCTGTGTGTGAGTGTGTGTGTGTGTATTAAGAGCGCAACCTTACATGCACACACGTACGTATTATACGCACTCGTAGATATTGTACACCTTCCAGGCATGTAGCTAGCAGCGGCAGCGGCAAAAGCATTAAAAGCCCGCCGTTGCGCCCCCGAGTCTGCATGGCGCAACGAGAGAATTGTGTCGAAAATTCACAATGAAATTCGCGTTCCCCGATCTGGCACCCCACACCCGGGTTTCCACACCACTTTCCCGACGCCGACGCCACCGCGAGTTTGCCTTACATACAGCTGATAATTACTCGGTACAGGTTGCGGTGTTGCTTTGTATGTATACGCGTGCATATAAAGCTCGCACGCGCTCCAGCGTGGGCTGCTAAATTGACCTTTTGTCTGGCGGGGAACTGCGATGAAAAGTAAAAAGTATATATAGTTATACGAACGAGCAATTAGCGAATGGCGCGCGCGCGTATCGTTATATACTTGTACCTCTGTAAAATATAAGTACACCAAAATTATAAGTATCGGCGGGGGTGTGCGCGTAAAAAGTGAACTTCACCCCCGAATTACGACGTTACACACATATTTTCGAACTATTATGCACGAGCAAGACGTGTGGGACGAGCCACCGTACCGCGAATTACTTATATAACGGGATAAGTTAACGACGCAAAAGCCGCACACTGCTGCTGCTGTATACGTACTATAACTTGGCCAGCTCGCTCTGCATGCGTCAGCGCTCGCAATGTTGACCGCGCGGCGCTCACGGCCTTTACCTAGACTGCAGCAGGTACATATAAGGTATATGATATACGCTATAGGCGAAGTTTCGGAGCTTTCGGGGGAACATAGCCCTCGATCCCCTGCCGCTGTGCGTTACAACGCTCCAATTATTTATCCGCGTGCTATGCGTATATCTGTATCGTCATGCCGAGCAAGCAAGTTTAATTTTCGACGGTGTAGAGATAGCTGGAGAGAGACGTAAAAATATATAAAAGCTCATATCCGACAATCGATGATGATGATCAGCAGCGTGTCGCGCGTCCATGGGTTTTCTAAAATCGTATACCGCGTGCTTTACCCGATTCTCTATTTTTACGCAAGCTTGGCCTTGAGCGAATCACATCGTCGTCGTCGTCGTCGTTATGCTGCATCGTACATTATATACGCACTATACACACATCTCTCACACAGGGCTAAATAATCATTAAGTTATCCGATAATTGCTCATTCGAAGCCGACTACGACGACGACGACGGCCGCGCGAACAGCACAGGTAGCAGTGTGGTGGTACTGTCTTGGCCGACGCGTACTATACTATATACCGCCGAGTCTTTTGCAAGCTCGACTCGCGCGCAAGTACCCTACACATTATAATAATATGCGCCTGAAGAGAGCCTTGCAAAAGGAAAACTACTATTCGCGCACGTATACCTGTGTGTATGTGTTTATTGTAAGTGTGTGTGTGCGTTATTGGTAAATTTTCTCTTTACAAGATTACACGCGCCAAGTTCGGGCGGGCTAGACACGGGGCTGCCGAGTTTGCCTCGAAAATATATGTAGGTGAGGAAAAAAACGGAAGGGCAAAGGTTGTTTTTTTTGAAAAAATATTTCTCAATTTTACGAATCGATGGTGCGTGGTGCAGGGATTACCTAATATTTTTTTTTTCACTCCGGACTGCTTTTACGAACGAAACGGTCGAAACGCGCGGGTTGAGATGCGTTACAGTCTCGAAGCTTTTTGTTTTCTAGCAGCTTTCTCACCTTCTCTCTTTTTTTTCTTTCTCTCTAAATTTATCCGCTTTTACTCTCCGGCTCTCTACCCCCAACGAATGGCGCTGCGTTGTATACGTACAGGTGTACGTCGTACGTACATATAGCACGGTATCTCTACACTTGAGAGACCGACGCTCAAACTGCACGCAATCCCCTCGCAAACATAAATTTCGTTTTTTTTCTGCCTTCTCTGTTTTTTTTTTATTCTCTCTCTCTCTCTCTCTCTCTCTCTCTCTCTCTCTCAACTCAGCCCCCGCACACTTTCTCTATACTCAACGACCTACATGCCTCGGAGAACGAACGCACACTTAAACCCACCCACACACACACACACACGTGCAAACGTCTAAAAAAAAAAACACAGAGAAAAACTGTTTTACATGTGTGACTATCGATTCGCGCGCGCGATGCTCTCGACGTATTCATTCGTTCGGCGCGCGATGATCAAAAAGGCGGTTAAGAGTTAAAGGCCGCGGAGAGAAGTCCGCGCGTCAGAACATTTATTTTGCATTTTTCTCATCGTATATAACTCCTCGTCGTCGTTGTCGTCGAGTTTGTTAGAGAGTTATAAAGAGCGTCCGAGAAATACTTTCTTGTTCGACAAGGGAGCGTAGAGGAGAGTAGCGTAAACGACAACTCGTAAAATGCAGATGATAGTTCCTGCTCCGAAGCGGCAGCAGCTTTGCGAGCAGAGCGAGCCGCGCTTTATAATGCGAAGTTATGCACGAGGAAACTCGGCGGCGCAGGGGGGAGAGATTCTTCTACGTGTGTCTTCTTTGTTTTCATTTCCTTGCGCCACGCAGGACGATAAAAAATAATATCGTATATATACCGTATGGAAAATGTAGGTCAGGAATTAGAATCCGATGGGGACCAAAGGTATTATTTTTCTCCTTTGTTTATTTATCTACGTACAACATTACCATTGTTATTACTAATTTATTTCTTCAACCGAGAAAATATAAAAAAATTAAAATATCAACAAAGGCGCACGCGCGCATTGGGTTTAATTTCGCGTTAGGAGAAAGGAAGCTTACATAATTTATACATCGCGAGAGCGCGCGCGTCTCAAAGCGCAACCAGAACGAACTAGATCGGCTTGATTATAATCTCTTCCAACGACGAGGGCTCTTTAGTTCGCAAGTAGCTCTCGTTGTTGTTGTTGTTGCTGCTGCTTTTTTATATTTTTTTATCTCTCTTTTGTTTCAATTTCACGACACTCGGTGTACATAAATTTTATCTTTTGAAGAAGGTTATATTACAGCGAGCGATATATCATTCACCTGTGGGGGCCGTTGAGAGGGTAATTGCGAACGATTGACACTTGCCTTTCTTTGCTAGGGCAATAAAGTCGAATATGTAATATATTTGTGAGCTTCGAGAGATATCTGTATGAATTTTTACGACGAGTCTGTACTACATCCCTTTTCATACGTCATGCATACGCGCGCGTGAGTAAGCATATATCGTCCGTTATATGCGTGATTTTGCCGTTTCTGGAAACGGCCTGCGCGCATATATAAAATCCAATTGAATCTCTCGCGTTTATAAATGGCGTATAAATGTGCGCACGTATAAGCAAACGTCGCAATCGCGAGCTACTGCGCGAGGGATTAACCGATTGTAAAAACAAACACTGCTGGTGCGAGCTCCGTTTTAAAGAGGACGCACCTCCGCCCCCTTCCTCGTTAACTGTGTATGTATATTCAATATTTTGCATTCTGTTCGCGTGGGTTCGAGAACAAAAGGAAGAGCTTACGATAAACACACATACATAATACTTTATGGAAAAACACGAAAGGAGCTTTTGGAGTATCGATCTTTGAAAATGTATCCACGTAAGCCGCGTCCTCCCACTCCTGACGGTAGCGGTATTAACCGCATGTTTCCCATCAGCTGTGCGGAGAACCGCCTCCGCTTACAATGACATGTTTCAAGCGAGAGTATCTAGGTACATCGAGTTTAAGGGTGGGCAAGGATGACTTATGCGAAACGATTATCGATTTGATTATTCGGGAGTTATTATCACACACACGCACGTGTGTGTGTGTGTGTGTGTGTGTGTGTGTGTGTGCGTGCGTGATCGAGCGGCAGATTTGCTCAATCATATTCCCAAGAACCAAAATGACAATTTTACTACATCGATATACAATTGGTATATATACAGGGTATTATAGTGTATAGTTCGCAATTGCGAGTGACGCATTCGAAGCTACCACCCGGAGAGCGAGAGACACAGAAGCTATATAACAATTCCTCGAACTTCTTGGACTTGTCTGGATATCTCTAACGCGCGCAATATACACCCGAGACAAAAGAGAGAGCTGATCGTCACGTGCAAATTCCATTTGGCCTGTGCTCAGCTCGACGTATAACAATAATATGCGTATACATTCCCGTCGTCTGTCTATATGTGTCGGCTCTCTCGAGACTCTCAGCAGTCTCGTGCCTGGATAGATAGAGAGTATCGCATGCCAATTTGACTTTTTTTTTCTTGCTCCGGTATACAAGCACAGCTTGCGTACCGAATAAAGCTGTTTACTATATACATAGTAGTAGGCAGTTTAGCGTCGCAGGCGCTTTTGAGCTTGTCGCTAACGCCAGCACCAGCTCGAAGTAGATTCAACTCGAAATCTGTGCACTCCGACACTCTCTCTCTTTCACTCGCTATAAGTCAAAGTAAAGCTGCTGTTCTATATATGTATAGAGCCACTGCATATATATGCTGGTCGCAATCGGAACTTGCCCTGGCCGCAGAGCAGAGAGCACAAACATTACGTTACACACACACACACAGTAAATAAAACGTCGTTAGTCAGCGCGAGATGATAATTGACAAGCGGTTCGAGCCGGATGAGCCCACTGCACTGCAGCAGCAGCAGCAGCAGTAGCTACGTTTATGCACTTTCCCTGTGTATATAAATGCGCGGCGTCGTGCTCGTGGCCCGGTAGTTGGCAAACGTGTGCGTATTGGTTAACATACGGTAAATCGTTGATATCGTTTTTTATTTTCCTGGACCATAATACCTATATCTCCGTAACGTATACAAACATGAAAATCTACTTTGGCCTGTTGATCGTCGGCTGTTTCGCGTGCAGCTCGCTCGCCGCTTCAGTTGAGTATATTATTGTTTAAAACGTTAATAATTTCGGTATATATCGAACGAAATTTTGCAGGAGGATCCGATCAAAAATGTCATCAACAAGGACTACATGAAGGCCTGCCTGACGCAGAACGGCTTCAGGGCGTGTAAGTACACTGCAACTGCATTATACTGGTGATCATTTTTCGGGGGAAGCTAATAGATTTTGCCCCAAACGACACAGCGTCTTATCCCGACGGCCTGCGCAACGCCAAGGTGGCCTTCAGATACGAGGAGAATCGCGACTGCTACTTCGCCTGCATGATGACGAAAATGGGCATGATCAAGCCCAACGGCCACCCCAACGAGGACGCCATTCGCAGTACGTTCGGCAAACACATCGATCAAGTTAACAAAGCCCTCAAAGTCTGCCGAGTTCAAGGTAAACATTCGTTATATTACGTGTATAGTTATATATAGCGTGTAATCGCGTTTACGCGCGCGCGCTTGTATTTACACATCTCTCTGTATACATATTATACAGCGAGCGAAAAATTTAATTATCACCTAAAATAAATCGCTCTCTCTCTCTCGCGCTCTTCTGGCCTTTTTTATCTCTCTTTATATATCCGAGCTTTTTGTGTGTGTTTGTGTTGCAGAGAACAATTCGTGCAAATACGCCGCGTGCATGATGGCCAATCGTGGAATTTAAAGCAGCTGGCGTTGGCAGCCGCGAGCGAGAGGAAGAGAAGGCGCCTCATGCTTACACGCGCGCCCCGAAGCTCTTCTCTCTCTCGCTCGATGTAAACAGCGCACCATCGATGCATTTATAAGTAACAGTATTATTTTTATTTTCCGTTCGACGCAGCTGTACATTGGTATTTCTCATTATGTTATTGTATACACTTAACGTTATGGTAACGATTATTAAAAAAAAAAAAGTAAGTTAATTTAAGCTCTGTTCGATGCTATGGTTCTTTTTTCTCCACCTTACATACCGATGATATTGACTCGTTTACAATTTTTAATACTCGCAGCGGCGATCCACCCTTTTACGAAAAGTCAATTTGTACGGATGCGCGCTGACCTAGATGAGAGGGGGAGGGCGAAGAAGAAAAAAAAATTTTCCTCTTCTTCTTTTTTTTTTTCATGGATTCGATTCGAAGGGAACGATATAATCTTCGCCGATCGAAAGTAATTAGCTTCGATGTGCGGGCGTTTAAATATTCCAGTAAGCTCGCTGGGAGGACAACGTATAAAAAGGTATATGCCTCTCTGTACGTTGCAGTAATTCGTTGCGCGCAGGTTGGAGGAATGATAATTTTCTTCCTTCTCTCTCTTTTTTTTCTTTTTCTTTTGCTCGCACCACCGACAGATTCATCGAACTGAAAAGAAATCACCGCGCGCGGGCGTTGATGAAATGATTTGAATAATTCGATCAACGCCTTGGGAGACGCAAGCGCAGAAGAGAACCGTCTCTCCTTTTGGTGGAATTTTGTTTTTTATATTTTTTTATCGACCCCGAGCCCGAGACAACTAGGAGTTATGAAAAAAATATCCGTACCCGTCGAAAACTTTTTTAATTAGTTTCTCACTCTGTCTCTGACTCTTGTTTGTTTCAATCTCTGTCTCTCCCTCTGATTGTCTTCGTTAAAAGTTTTTAGAAACGTCATGCATAAAGCTTCGAGCTTATCATTAAACCTTATTGCAATATTAATCCAGCATTAGCTAATCCCCCCCCCCCGCTCCTCTTCTTACTTTTTTTTTCTTGATAATCGCGAGCGCAAGGGAGAAAAGTTATCATTTTCAGGAAAACAGCTAGACACTAAGATAAAAAGTACAATATGCGTTATATAGAAAAATCTTATATCCGTGCAGAGCAGATATAAGCTATATAAAAGCAACTCCGTCGTGGCAGCGTATAAACAGGAGATAAAAGCAGCAAGTATACTGCGCGACTTGCGGCGCGCACAGCACGTCGTGGGAAATCAGCCCTGCAAAACGGCTAGTGGTAGGTGGCACAGAAATGCGGGGAAAAATGCATACAAACGTATGAAAGAGAGAGAGGTAGAGACGAGAGCGTAGGTGGGTGCGAAGTTCGATTAAATGGCTATAGATATCGAGGTCATTCGAGTTTTCTATATAGATACATCCTTTATATGTACAAGCCTGCGATGATGATCATGATGATTACGGAAAAGAAAATAGTTGCTCGAACGAACGTACGCGCGTATAGAAATTTTGTGGTGCGTGGGAGCAGGTAAACGGTGAAAAAATTAATCGAACGAATTTCATCGCGATATCGCATAAAGCGCGAATCGATATCGAGCCACGCAATCCCGATCGAACTGCAGCTTCGCAGTATGTATGTGGGTGTATGCGTTTGATACACACACTACGGCGAGTCCTCGTTTTCATAGTACAGTGGTCGCCGCTTAAGAGAATCACTGTGTGACAAAAATTTTCATTCTATTAAGCGGATGATTCTACTATCCGATAGGGATTGCAATAACTTATAAATAACTTTGAATCCGAGAAATTATGCATTATTATAATAAATAATTTATTATTATAAATGAATATATATATATATATAATTTATATAATAAATTATTTATTATTAAATATTTATTCAAATCATATGTGACACCATTATAATTTAGTAAAATAGTCATTTATCTTGGTTTGTTTTTTCTTTTGGTCAATTATTTTGAAAATAAATTTTTCAAATTTGTAGTACTCTTCAAAGGATTTCGAACGATGTTGAACTCCTCGTCTCAAGACTTGTAATGCGTTAAACATTTCTAGATTATTAGGTGCGGGTTCTATACTATCATCTTCCTCTTCAATTTCTGATTCATCTGTGTCCAATTTTTGGCATATGTCATCATCTGTTGGCTTTCCAGAGGTTTCTAGACATTCGTCAATATCTATCCACTCGTCAAAAACCTCATGTGTCATATCTTCCGGATAAATTTCGTTCAAGCTAACGTTGCTCGAAATATTACATATTTCATTAGTTCCGTTAACAAACCCAGCCTTTCTAAAACAATTTTTTATCGTTTCGCTAGATACATAAGACCAAGCTTCTTTGATCTGATGTAGCGCATCAAGCAGAGAGGTCTTCTTGGCAATGTCATTGGCTTTGACATTTTGTTGATTATCTAATATTTGTATAATCCGTTCCCTCATTGTTCTTCGATAGTACGCTTTTAATGTACGAATTATACCTTGATCGCAAGGCTGTATCAGAGACGTCGTGTTGGCAGGTAAATAAACCACTGTAATATTTTTCATAGGCTCTAAGTTTGAATGTGCACCGCAATTATCAATGGTTAATAAAATTTTGCGTTTTAATTGTCTATCCCAATTTCGTAGCCAATCAGAAAAAATGTCTCTTGTCATCCACGCGTTTCTGTTGGCCGTGTAAGCAATAGGCAATTGAGTCACATCTTTGAAGCATTGTGGATTCTTAAATTTTCCAATAACAAACAGGTCTTTTTTTTCACCTGCCATACTGGCACAGCATAACAACGTTATACGCTCCTTACTTGTTTTGAAGCCTTTCGTATTTTCTGATTTTAGAGCATATGTATGCTCTGGTAATGCTCGGTAGTATAAACCCGTTTCGTCAGCATTAAATATATCGCTTGGCGAATAATTTTTAGATATTTCTGGCCATTCTTGTATAAACCACTCATTTGCACTTGTAAAATCAGCTTCGGCTTGTTCACCATGTGGCTTGCGATACACAATATTTTCTCGGCCTCTCCAACGTGAGAGCCAACCGTCAGTGGCCTTGAAATTTTCTTTGCCTAATTTCTTTGACAAATCTTCAGCTTTTGCTTTAAGTAACGGGCCATTAATTGGAGCGCCTTTTTCTCTCACTTCCACAAACCATTTCTTCAACGTTTTTTCTACGTCTTCGTCTTTGCCGCATCGTTTTCTCTTGCGGCTGAGATTTTCGTGAGAGCAAGAGGTACTTTCTATCTCGTAACGATTTAATAATAATCTACTAAGAGTAGCTTGTGATATGTTTAATAACAGCGCTGCATCACTTTGTGATAAATTTGGCAACAAATCATATTTTTTTAGTAGCTCCTTTTTTTCAAGGACACTTAAGCCTTTTCTATGAACTATAGCTGATGATTTTTTCATACTTGTATCACTAACACAATTAATTATTATGAGCATGTAATACCGACGGTGCTATGAGAAAGTACTGACAATGAAACTTGTATTTAATCGACAACAACATTGAATGTAAACATCGTCTTCAAACTAAATTTGATTCTATTAAGCGAAAAGTTTATTCACTTAAGCGGTGAATTTTACATGTATAAGGATACGGGAAAATCATTGTTAGGATTTTTGATTCATTTAACCGGCGTATTCTATTAAGCGCAATTCTCTTAAGCGGCGACCACTGTATATAAATTCAGCTCCAGGCCGATGTGGGGAAGCCACTCGAAGCCTCGCAGCCGCGCTGCACTGATAATATATCAGACTATCCAGAAGCAGAAGCTAGCTAGCTAGCTAGCTAGCACTTCGTAGAAGTAAATTTCAATCAAGATTTTATGGCGAGAAAAGGGTATAAGATTTACGATGGGCGATCCGCAACTTCTTAATTGAAGGTGAAACTTTTTTTCTTCATCCGTTCGGTTCTCTCTCTCTCTCTTCTAAACTACTTTTTCCCCCTCCTTCTTTGCGTTTCGTACTTGCTATATATTATTGTTATTATTATTTTCAATTTGCCGTGCATAAATGAAGATCGTCTTTCATTAGTGCGAGCTTGGCGCGTGGCGCGAGGAGCTGAGCAAATGCACTTAGTCAAAGAGCGGCGCACGCGCGCGTTGAAAGCAAAGAGGCAAACGTACATTCTCTGCGCGAGTAAACGTCCTATATATGCATGGCGTACTCACACACGCACACACACATTTAGTTGTGTGTTGGGGATGCTTTTAGTGCAGCGCAGCACAACTGTTGGGCTGAATTCGCAACGGCGCAAACAAAACAAAGTTTTCGCCGCCTTCCCGCTACCCCGCCCGAAAGTCGATCGCATGAATATGAAAATCCGCGCGCGGGCGCGCGTTGGAGCAACTCGAAATCGGTCCATTTTTTTTTTCACGGGCAAACGCGCGTCGTCGCATGAAAAGTAATAAAACGAGACGCGACACGCGAGCGACGAAAGTTTAATATTAAAAGCAACTCGTGCATACCAGTATTCATATACGAATGGCGTTTCCCGCGTTTTGTTCACCCGCCAGCGGCCTGCGCGACCAAGATGACGACAACGATACAGTGCGTTTAGAGAGCGAGAGAGAATAAAAAGGAAAAAAAAAAAACGTTTGTACCGACTGCGTCGCTCAAGTATGTACGGCTAACGACGTCGCTCACAGCACTCGCTCTCTCTCACTCTCTCTCGTCAATTAACTATACGATTCCGCAAGCTCTACTCCTTTGGGAAGCTTAAATACTTATAAAAGTGACCTCCAGGATGAAAAAAAAGATTCTGCGAACTCCGCTGTGTGCGCGTGTGCGTTCATGTGTTTGTGCAGTAAAGCTCACATATGAGCTAAACCGTGGTTGGCGTGATGGCACACAATAGAAATTCGAAAAAAGTATATTTTTGAAGAGATTTTCTAATGCTGTTCTACTTGTTATTTTGCTTTTCTGGGGTGAATATGAAAAAATTGTCAAATGATGATTTAACGCCTTTAATTTAAATAACGCCCTAACGCCAAAAGCTTTTAAATGTGGTAAAA